CCATATCATCACCACAACTCAGAAACAGTAAAAGAATATATTATCACAATAAATCCACCTAGAGAAGAAAGCCAAAAGACACAGTTTACCAGGATTTCATATGGACCATCCAATGGATCTGATCTCTTGAGAAAACCAAATGTCCAAGGAGTCAATCCTCATCCACAATTTGCTCACCCTTTTAAGGGAGGTTTGGTTAGCCCAGCCAGTTCTAAGATATTTGCCGGGCTAGCTAGCTAGTTCTAAGATCTAGGAGGTTCATTCACCATGATCTCTTAAACTAAGACCTGGATTAACCTTTATTCAACCAAAAATAGAACACCACATCAACCTTTTCATTGATTGAGTCAAAAACATTTCAAGGAAACTAAATTATCAAAAGTCTCCTAAAATCCTACGATTATGTCACTTATGTGATGATATTCATCTTGCGCTCCTTCAGGGCCAACAGATAATTATGTAATGTGATGAAATTGCCCAATAGTAATCATATCAGCAACAAGATTGCATCATAAACTTACATTTCCATGATAATGAAACTCATGTAATTTGTTCTTGTAGCACAAAGATATCTTACATCATAGAACCAAAGTTGACCAGTGACGTGGCTGTATATTCTTAGAAGAATCAATTTAAGAGCTACCAGGGACAATGTACAAGATATCATACCTTTCAAAAAATTTCACACAATATCCTTGCACTTACTCCTTCCATCGATACACAACACGCCCAAATCTACAAGTTAGGAAGGTGATCTTGTTGTATTGCAATTTCATCCATATATCTCAGGAATACAATGAAATGCTGATCTAATGGGTTCATGGTGCTTGAATACTACAGTCAAAATAACCTTCATATGCATCCCATGCTCCATTTATATAATAAGCATTAGATTCTCAAAACCACCTAGTGCTAGAAGAATGACTGGGTTCAAGTCCTCATACCATCCTACTACCTCAAATTCCTAGATAATGTTTACCTGCTGGCTTAGTGTAAAGACAAACCTTATGCATTCACTTGTACAGTTGTCAATGTCACAAAGAGCATGTGCAACACTCACTAAATTGTCATCGACCTTGAAGATTTTGTATGTAATAGCATGCAATAAGAAAGGGAAAAAAATCAAAAACAGTAAAATGAGAAAATTTACCATCCATGTGGTTCCATCGTTAACCCCCCATGTAAATATAGGGTACACTAGGAGAAAAAAGTATCAAGCTTGAAGCCCTTCAAATTCATTGCGTTGCTTGAAATTGCTGAGTCTGGGGGGCAAATTTATGATTATTTGGTTGTATGTATGCATGTTATGGTAACTTTAATCTTCTGTAGATTCAATTGGCTTGCACTCCATCAGCATGTCGTCACAGTAGATCAGTTGCAAAGAAGAGGCTTGCCCATTCCTAACCGGTGCATCATGTGCATGGAAGCTGAGGAACCAACGAACATTTATTCATCCACTGCCCTGTTGCCCATCTTCTTAGGGGCAACCTCCTCCAATTGTTCAATTGGCAATCTGTAAGTCATCAAACCATCCACATCCTCTTCTCTTCCCTCCAGCCATACCCCTTGGTCAAACCAGGGATTCTCCTTTGGAAGGTCTCCATGGCTACCCTTCTCTGGACAGTGTGGAATGAGCAAAACCACAGAATCTTTCGAGGTCAGTTTACTACTTCGGTTGCCTTGTTCGATAAGATCAAAATCTCAGTCACCTTTGGGCTTCCAACCATAAGCTTTTCAAAGGTCTCCATCCTTCGGCCTTCCATAGTGATTGGCTGACCCTGTTCAACCTTAGCCATCGTCGCATCCCTTGTGCTTCCTTGTGGAGACCAACTGATCAAGGCTCGGTTAAGCTCAACTTCAATGGTGCAAACCTGGACCTGCTGGCATTGGATGTCTCTTTAGGAACCACGAAGGCACAACTCTCACATCCTAGACATTTCGACTCTCACTCGACGGAGGCCTTAGCTCTCCTCGAAGGCCTGAGACTCTTTGACTGTAACTGGTTCTCGACTTTGATCACAGAAGGCAATTCAAAAAATGTCACTCGCTAGTCCTCCGGAACCGCCAAATACCTCGGCTTTTGTACAATGCTCCCACTTGTGTGAAGCCAATTTTTGATGTACACAGCTCCCGGGCCATGGGCGGCAGTTTTTTGTACTACTATTACACTTACATTATTAATTCAAGGTCAACATTCTCAAAAACACAGAAAAAGAAAAAGGAAAAAAAATCTCATTTTTTTGTTAATACCCTCCAGTTCTAATTATTGCATAAGAGCAAGGTAATGACGGGTCATAAACACTACCCATATTAGGCATTAAGGCCAGAAAACATCTCTTCAGACTCTCCTTAAAAGGAAATATGATTTTGTGCTAAGTAGAGAGTCGTTCTACATTTCATTGTCCAAGCTAGCAGGTTTTGTTCCCTCACTGCCATTTGCAAATGAACCCTCTACCTAGAGAGAAGTTACCATGACTGTTTATGTCAAGTTATTTATGACCATCATCATCAAAGCCTTTTCCCGATTATTTGCAGTTAGCTATACCAATCTTGGTCCGCCATTCTGCTCTATGAAGGACCATACTCTCAGTGAAGTAATAAATCCCCATATCTTTTCTCATCACTTCTAACCATATCCTTTTGGGCCTATCCCTTGCCCTTTTTGAGGCTTCCACTTGAACCAACTCTCACCTCCTAACAGGTGTTGTACTAGGTTTGTGCAGCACATGGCTAACCCACCTAAGTATACTTTCGCTCATCTTATCGCCTATTAGAGCCACACTGAAGTTCTCTCGAATGAATTCATTTCAAGTTCTATCCCTTCTTGTCTTACCACTCATCCATCTCAACATCCTCATCTTAGCTACACTTATCCTATAGGTATGTTGTTTCTTGACCGCCTAACATTCTGTCCCATAAAGCAAAGCTGGTCTCACAACTATCCTAAAGAACAATACTGTGCAAAATTACAACAAATGGATTGGGTGTAAGAAGGGTACACAAGGCCAAGATCATATCTGATGGTATTATCCGAAGACATGAAACATGCTTGGGGGGGTAAAAGATCGTAAGGAAGAGTACCATATGAACCCAATTGACAACAACAAAAGTTCTTCAACCCAAAACTACTATCAAAGGGTATGGTTTGAATCAGAATGATATCAAGAATGCGTACTGTCATAGTTTATGATGAAATTTATATACAACTGCTGACATATGTTAGTATGCTATTTGTCACATGAAAATGGTGATCAATGGTCTCAAACAACGTTCTCAAATCTTATTTTGAATGACTTCTTGATGTTGCACTTCAGGGAAGGTTTGGCAAGTGCCTTCTTCATTCCTCACTATCTGTAACACACACAGAGAGGCAGACTGATATTCCACCACTATACATTGATAATACTGCTATTCCTAGTGATGATATGACACTGTACAGAGTATAATATATATTTCAAGGTCTTTACATTAAGTACCTGGTGCCTTGTTACATATATTTCCTTATGCTCGAGATTACATGAGTTCTAGATGAATTGACCTTTTTTTTTGATAAATTACTCTTTGAATTATCGAGGTGAACTTCTGAGTCAGGAATTTACATTAGGCAAGAAAAGTATGCCCAATATCGTGTTTCTAGAGCTCCTTTAACTGATAGAAAATAGGTTGACACCTTAACTCAGTTCAAATGTTGGACCCTAAGCATATGATGGTGATTTTGTATATCCCAAACCACATTCTATTGACAGGAAGACCATCATGATATATGACAGTATGCCAATCTATTTGGGTTTGTTGTCTTGATTATCGGGGGCTCTTTGGTTTCTTAGCATATTTTAGATCAACTTCCCACAATTTTATCTGGCTTACGATGTTATTGGCTGATCTTGGTGTCCAGCTTACTTCTATAGCAGTTCTATTTCACAGTGATAACACTAGAGGCTTTAAGATTGCTTTTCAAGTCAAAGAAACCAAGCGCATTGAGGTAGAAACCCATTCCACTCAAGAGATAGCCAGTGTAGTTATTTCCCTTCTTCCATTCCCTCAGAAGACCAGGTTACAAATCTGTTTTACTAATATCATCTCTCATTGCAGACATATGGCTTAGAAATAAGTTGTTTCATATATATGTGGATGCTCCGGTTTGCGGGGTTTGGCATGAGTCACAGGGATAGATTTGTATTATTTGGTTGTATACATGTACGTCAGTTCCAATTTAATTGTATAAATCTACACAAGGAGATTGGCCCCTCATTTTCTCATTAATCAAATTCAATTCTTTTCTCACTTCTGACAATACTCCTACAAAGATAACTTATGCACTATGATGCACACAACATCAAACAAGACAAGTTGGTAGGAAATGCCATCATGCAACGTCTAGTTGAGTAATCGTGTTTCAAGTTCATTGCTCCAATATGCTGATAGCTATGGATGCATGCAGAGGGAGAAAAAGAGGGAATAAAATTGGAACTAGTGGAATGTCAATATCTACTCGTATTAGGAAAGGAAATGACTTAGAAATGAGGTGTAGGAGAGGGAGATGATTGAAGGTTCTGGAGAGGGATTCTTATCCTATGTACAAAGTTCTTGCAACTAAGGCGCTACCTTACACTAGTATAAGAAATGAGGGACTTTGGTCATCTCTAATTTAATCAGTGAGTTATGGCCGGTATTTTTACATCTTTGATATTGATAAATAATATCTTATATAGATGTTGCATTTATCATGCTTTAAAAAAGAGCACCTCATTCCAGCCTCGAAAATAGGGGCTTCAGTGTTCCTAGTTCACATTGTCCTTGCCAATGACAACTGAAGAGAATTCAATGGAAGATAACATAATCAAGATAGCACCTCAAAGCTAACAATTAAGAACCAAGGTTCCGATTTCTGAAAACCATAACATCCAGTGATATATAACTCCAAAACACAGAGGGCTTAAGTAATGCACATAATACAAAAAGCATGTATATTATATGGATAAGTTAATTATTTGACAGCATTAAGAACAATGGTATATTATTATTCTTGGGAACTGATGATATCCCTAAAGAACTCACACTAGTAAATCAGCCAGAATTCTGGTACAATTCCAATGCCCAAAAAACAAACTTAACTGCAACACCAGCAGCTAGCCAGACATTACATCACAGAAACAATATTGTCTAGTATCTCCCTCGAAGGGGCACACTACACAAATAGGAAACACTCTTCTGAATATAATCCCGCAATCTGCCTTTACAACTCAATCAAACTCATGAAACAAAACTACACTCTCAATTTTAATAATAAAACAAATCCCTGAACAACACCTTGTATCCGTACCATTTGTGGTTGTCTTCAAATTTTTCAGATTCCGAAATAGAAACTCATTCCAGTTAGGTATTGAGTCTCAATAATCAATTCAGCTAACATACTAAGGATGGCAAAACACAAAATGCAGAGTTATGCACCTGCTTCACCACATTGCTTTCTTCTAATGAGCTCTGTTATATAAAGAATGATAAGCCTATGCTGCAACTCCTGAAATGAAGAATGAAAGCACAACATAACAATACAAATTAATATTTCAAGAAACAACATTCTTTCTGCACACAGTAATCTTAAAGCAACGGCTAAAAGGATGAGTAAAGTTCAAGAAAATGGATTGAAAACTTTTCTTGACAACAGTGAAGAAAAATCAACAGTAAAGAAAAAAAATGGCCAAAAGAATCATAAACTCTTCTCTGAGCTCATACACAACTCAAGCTTCAAAAAGAATGACAAGTTCTCCCCACAAAAAATAAATAATTATATCAAACATTATAAAACAAAAGGAAGCTTATAATATGTAATGCCCTCCGCAATTATAGCATTACATACCTGCATATGACATGCGATGCTACTGAATATTACAAAGCATACTATACCCAAATGGACGATGATAAAACACCGCCCATGGGGTACACCACCATCCAATGACATGACATACAGTGATGGAGTAGGACCCATCAGATGGGGTCATGCCCTACTCTTGCAGGTCCTACTCCTCTCCACCATTGTTCATCATTTCGTTCTATGGTGATGATCCCATATGGTTTTCCGGAGTCCATTGAGTAATATCAAAATTTCCCCCATTACGAAGAAAAATTTAAAAAGCAAAGTTTACCTCTGTTTGATTGCCTGTTGCTAACACTATAGCCTCCCATATAACTCCCTGAACCCTTTGTTGCAACATCAGAGGCCATAGTTCCTAGGCCATAGCTGAAAGAGCTGGAGCCATCGAGCTCAGTAGAACCAGACCTCCATGTTGGATCCCCATAAACAGAGCTCCCACCATACAAATCCCCATAGCTACCTTCATATCCACCATTACTTCCACTATATGAGCTTGGGGCCAAACCAGTACCACTAGTTCGACCCCCAAAACTGCTCATTCCCAATCCATAGCCATTTTCAGAGCTTCCATAACTAAAACTGCCACCCCCACCATAACCACCACCACTTCCTCCCACTTGTGAAGCCATCGAAGGAGAAGAACCCCAAGTTGCTCCAGTGTTTCCAAACCCTCCAATGCTTCCACTACCTGATCCAATGTATCCAGTTGAAGTTGCAGAAGCAGAATAATTCAGGCCGGAATTACCCCAAACATTACGACCAGTTGGGCTTAGGAAAGATCCACTTCCTCCACTACTACCATTGTACCCAATTGGACTGCCATATCTACTGGCATTGTTGCCACCATAGTATGGGCCTAATCCTCGACCAAAACCAAGATTACTACCAAAATTGCTTCCTCCATAGCTTGGGCTCACTGCTGGCCCATAATTAGGATAAGTTTGGGGGGAAAATGTAGGGAACCCACCTCGCGATCCTACTAAAGGTCCAAATCGACCATCCATTCTCATCCCATAGCCACCAAGGGAGCCCTGGTTATAACCTTGAGGATACCCATTCAAGAAGCTATTGACCCTATTCATTCCATATCCAAGAGGAATTCTACTTGGGCCTGGAGACAACTCCTTTGGGACTGCCCTTTTAACCTCGACTGTCTTTCCATTGAGCTTGTGGTAGGTTTCTAAGAGAACCTTGTCCACTGCATCCTCAGAATCATAAGTTATGAAACCGAATCCTCTAGGCCTTTGGGTGTTGTGGTCGTACATTACAACTACGTCTGTTATTGTTCCAAACTGATCAAAATATTTTCTGAAATCATTTTCAGTGACTGTGGAAGCTAGACCACCTACAAAGATTTTTTTGGTCCTTGCAGGGCTCGGGGATCCATGAATACTGTTACTGTTTCTGTTAAGGATTTGTTGGTCATCTCTTGGAACTGCCTTCTTTGCCTCTACCTGAGAGAGAGAGAGAGAGAGAGAGAGAGAAATTTAATTTTGAGTAGAGAGTCAAATTGATCTCAAGAAAGAGAATTTTCATAAATGCAATAGAATCAAGATTAAATGGAGTATGAGTACATACTGTTCGACCATCTATTGTGTGTTTTTCAAGAACAACTCTATCTGCAACTGCAGGGTCTGAAAAAACCACAAAACCAAAGCCACGAGCTCGGCCTGTGGTTCGATCCTTCATGATCACAGCCTCAACGATTTCTCCATATGTTTTGAAATACTCTTTGAGGCGATCCTCGTTGGTCTCCCATGAGATTCCCCCGATGAAGAGTTTGCCCATATCCGATTCCATTTGCCTGCTCTTTGGAAACACGTTTCTCTTATCAGACATTCTACAATCTCATAGAATGATAGAAATCAAGGAGATTGAAACATGTGTCTCCCATCAAATGAATTCAGGAATCAGAGAAAGAGGGAGAGAAACAAAGACCAAATTTGATCAAGAGGAATGACTCATCAGACAAATTCGACAATCTTTGTTAACATAGCCCAAAAGGAAAACATTGAGAGATAAGCTCAGGCCCAATTCAATTCAGAGAAGGCCAATTCAATTCAGAGGAATACAAGACAAATTCAAAATCAAGATACATCCATCTCTACAAAATTGTAAAAGGAAAATAAAAAATAATCCAATGTGGGAAATACGCAACAGATTCAATTGACGATGTCTTGAAACTACTGATCAGAATAATCAGATGTCAAATGGATGTTGAACATTCAAAGAATCAAGCCAAATCCGAGCAATTAAGGCCCCGATAAATCAAACACCCAGTTTTCAAAATAAAAAGTTGTTACGAATAAAAAACAGAGAAAATGGAACAAAAGCCAACCATCCTCACCTTGATTAGAAGTTCCCTGAATCAAAAGAACACAGATCGGGAAATGGGTCTCTTAAAATTCAATGCAGAGGCCTCGGATCCCTCATGAATCAGCAAAAGGAGATCCTGTATCCCAAAAAAAAAAAAGCAAAGTAGAAATGATTAAGAAGATCAGATATTGCCATTCTCCAACAAAAGGAAGAAATTGAACGATAATTCACAGATGGGCTGCCCCAAAATAGGCCTGAAACTTACAATTTTCAAAGCTTTAATGGCCAAAAGTTAGCAATACCAAGATCTGGGAGGAACCATAACAACGGAGGGTGGTGGGTTCATCCCCCTCTTCTCCCCTTGTTTTGCTTTCCTCCTCCCATTCTGATGGCATATGACATATATATATATCTAGAAAGAGGAGAGAGAGATAGAGAGAAGAGGGGAGAGAGAGAGGAGGAAGACGAGGAGAGAGTTACCTTTCTTCCCTTTCCTCCCCAAATCAAAATCTAATGGTATAAATTTAGAAAGAGAGAGAGAAAGAACCAATCTGAAAATTAGGGAATATGTACAAAATGGTATAAAATACAAAATATTTAGAGAGAGAGAGGAGGGAAGAAGAGAACCCAACATGAAAAATAAAGGAATAATATTAAATGTTATAAATATTTAGAGGTATAATTAACATTTAGAGAGAGAAAAAAAGGGTACCCAATGAAAAAAATTAGGGGAGCACCCCATTTAGAGGGAGAAAGGAGGACAGAGAGAACCAATCTGAGAAATTTTGGAATATATAAATAGAAGAGTGGATGAGATGGCGTGTTTATTTTAGAGAGAGGAGAGAGAAAGGAACTCCATTTTTAGAATATATAATTAAGGATTAACAGGGGAGGAGAGAGGAAGGATTCTAGAGAGACAATTTTGATTGCAGAAGAAATGTGAGATGGAGGGATGGGATCGCTTTGGGTTTCTATCATCCGTTATGCCTCTTTCTCTTTCTTACTTTTTACTTTTTTTTATTAAAAATGATATAATAATTACTAATTGGCCTAATCTTTGGGATTACAAATTGAAATGGTAACTAATTTTGTTGAAAAATTTAATAACCATTTAATTGCCAACCCTCCTATGTTCACCCATCTGGTCCACCCGGCATCTTAGAAAGGACTCTCTCTTCACTTTTAAAAATCGTGGTTCTTATATAACCCATCTCAAACCAAATTTGTTTGAGAGAGAAAAATCCCTTCTTTTTCTTGCATATGCAGAGAGAGGAGAGAAATTGACCTGCTCTTTCTTATATTTTATGATAGATGGTGCCAATGGGTTTGCTCTTTATACTCACTAGCAATGGATAAGGCCGCGCTGGCCAGGGCAGGCCTTAGCCCGGCCCTATTCCCCTAAGGGTTGACCCAAGTCCGGCCCAAGCCCTATCAAGGATACGGCCCTGATAGGATCAGGGTTGTGCCAGGCCAATTAAAATTAAAACAAAACAATACGAAAAGAGATAAAAAATTAGGGAAGAGAAAAGAAGGAACGGGCCGGGCCAGGCCAAAATTAAGGCTGGGCCAATCTTGGCCTAGCCCAAGCCCTAGGTGCTTTTAGAGTCGAGTTGACCAAGCAGGGAGGATTGGACCTTGCCACCCCTAGACAGAGAGGAAAGAGAAACACTCATTTCATTTCCAAATGCAAGTTTTAGATAGACCGATTAGGGCTGTGAATGCCCCTGGACAAGGCTGGACTCAGTCGGCCCAAAATATTTTTGAGCCAAGGTCAGGGTTGGTAGTGGCCTTGCCAGAAATTTTTTTAGTAATACATAACAGATATGTTTTGCCATAGATAGGGGGCCCACCCCAATTTTGCGGTCAAGGCTAGGTTCGGGCCTGATTGCAATGGGTCAAGGCGGGTACTCAATGTTTTGGACCGGGCTTGGGCCAGGGCTGCCCTGGCCCAGAAATGGCAAGCATGTGCATTGAGTTTGAACTTTCAACCAATAAAAAAAAAGCAAAAAAAAAAAAAAAAGAGTCAGAACTGTAGTTCCATTAAACAAAAGTTGTTTTGGAAGAAGGTGACTATCCATCTTCTTGGAGCTTTAGGTGCCGTTTATATTTAGCTTTTCCCCATAGAAAATTCCACAGGGTTGATCAAGAGGACAGCTTTAATTAAATGTTATTTTGAATAGTGCCGATAATTGCCATCTTTTAATTATGTGGCACATTACTTCTTATGGTTAGTGTCTTTTAAAAGCTTTGCATCTTCTTTTTGAGTTATACGAAATAATCTTTTATTACTTTCTCTTGTTTCTTCATGTTAAAAGTACAAATTTTATTACTCTAACCTCCTAAACACTCTAAGAACTTTCAATGATTTTTTTTGTCTCTCTTTTTCCCTTCTTCTCTAAATAATATTTTTTTTACTCCAAACTTTCCACAAAAGATGACCAAAACACAGTGTAGTTCAGTTATGAGAGGCTTCATATAGATATTTACATTTTTCATTCCTTTCTTATTTCTTTACTTGTTGTCCAAGGGGTTTTGAGGAGATCAAATCAATCAATGTAGTCTTGTGGTTCACGTGTACTATTTTTTTTTTTCATAATTTTGGTTTCATGGTGTCTCTCTCAACTACATAAAAATATAAGGGTAGTTTTGTGGGATCTCTCTTTCTTTGATTAACATATCATGGAACTTCCAAAATAATGGTCCAGTTTTTTCATTAGCAAGTCTTGTAATTTTGGATTCATCATTTGTTTTTTTGTTCTTCTTTTTTTTTTTGACAGAGTAATTCATCATTTGTTTAATAAGTAAAAAATATTGTTTCATGTTCCAAAATCGTAATGCCCCAAATTTCATGTGAGATTCATCATTTGTTTTACGTTCATCATTATTATTATTACGGAGAAATAACTCCATACGCCCCATTTTTAAGTTTTATATCTCAATAGACTCAATGTTTCAAAACATATCTTGAGTCATAAAAAGTTTTATATCTTTTAACCCTCTTAAACTAATTTTATCTTCTTTAAACCTATTTTTTTTTACCCCAAACAAATATAAGAAAAACATATCATTTCTAAATACCATATTTTCTCTCTCTTCACGTGATTTTCTCCTAAATCTTTCTCTCCACCTATTTTCCCCATCTCTCTCCCCCCCCCCCCCGTGTGTCACACTCTCTCTCTCTCCTCTATTAGAGAGACATAGAGGGTGAATGTTAGAGAGAGAGAAATTTGAAAGGAATATATCAAGTAAAGAGATGAAAGGTTTAGAATGAGCATGTCGTTTTTATATTTGTTAGTGCTAAAAAAAATAGTTAAAAATGGGTAAAGTTAGTCAAGGGCTTAGGAGATATATTTTGAATCTTTAGGTCTATTGAGATATGAAAACAAAAAATAGAGGGCACGGAGATATTTTCCCTCTTATTATTTATTGAAAAACTCTTCTCAAGGCTTATAGGCGTAAATGAACAGTGATTTCGCCTACACTCATCACCATCCAAACTCTTCCCAACATACGGTCACAGTTGTCTAGTAGTGTTTCAAATTTCATTTTTTTTCTACATATCCAAATTAATTGAAATTTGGAGCGTGTGTAGATCTTAGTAAGGCACATCTAATAAAAATATGAAAAAAAATAATTCATAAAATTTAAATTAACCAAAATAACCCCGAAAATTTATAGGGGTATTTTAAT